GACAAACAATATGAAATAGCATATAGATCAATATAAAGCTTCTAAATAATTATTATCAAAAAAAATAAAATAAAGACAATTTAATTTTTTTTAAATAATATAACATTATTAATAGGTGTTTTACTTATATAAATTAACAAATAAATAAAAGAACAAATATATTATAATATTATTAAAAAATAAAGGAAAAAATTATTTAATTTGAGTAAATGAATATATAAATTTTATTATAATCCAATATAATTTATATATTTATTACTAAAAAGTGGAAGAACTTTAAAATGAATAAATTTCCATTCATAACTAATAGTTCCCATAATAACATACTTAAAAATATTTATAATTAAATTTAATGCATTAAATATTTACGAAATTATTATATTGACACGCAGAATATGTGTATTATAACTGATGAAAGAAATACTCTGAAATATTTATTCTACAAATAAATCAATTAAATAGCTTTAAACATTATATATAATATGAGTCAATATGTAATACAAAAAAGATAAATAGGAATAAATCATTAATTTTAATGATTATTTACAGAATTTTTTATCTTACATATACAAAACAGTAGAATGCTATGGAAAAAGATCCTCATAATTAATCTGTAATGCTATATAAATAAATTTATTTGAGTATTATAAATATGTATAAATACAAAACATTAATATATAAATTTAAATATTTCCGGACATAATAAAACTAAAACATTATTATTATTCAATATAAATATTATACAAAATTCTATGAAAAGGACAATATAATAACAATTTATTTTTTACACGATAATTTTATTCACATTAAAGTGTTATAATTATATTATTATATTTCATTATATAAAATACATAATGTATATATTTCATAATTTTAGTAAAACATATTCATTACTATTAATTTAATACTTTCATAGCAAATAGAATTATCTAATGCTCTAATAAATATGCAGTAATATGTAGTGATTAATATTTTCTTATTTTCAGATTTAAGAGAACTTTGAAATATATTGCAGTTATAAGAGTTATTTTCCTCAATATCAGTTGCATATACTGCCAAATCCATATTTTTGCTACATTTAAAATATATGAAAGTTTATCTTGCTTCCATTTTCATAAATTTTTTATTTAATTATAGGATATATTTTCATCAAAATATTTTCAGGAAATAAAAAAAATATATTTATGTATTTTATATATGGATATAACATACTTAAGTTATTTATCAGGTGCTGTTATATCCAATTTACATCTAATTCAGTTTTTATAAAATGAAGAATATTTAAAATAAATCTCAAAAAATTCTTCCCTTCTGTAAGCATCTCCAATAGATATAAGTGTGTAGTATAGATATATACCCCACATCTATATTCATATAACATTGTAAAACTAATAACAAAATGAAATTAATGAAAATGATTAATAATTAAAAATAACAAAATAATATAATATATATACAAACATAAATTTATATGGTTTTAGCACATGTTATAATATGACAAATCGAAAAACAACTCATTTATATCACTTCATTCATAATGTATAAAACATATGTACATGAATAAATGTATATCATCTATTAATATTAAGACATTCATTTAGGTTATATATATAAGAAATTAAATATTTTTAAATAAAATATTTAATATATATATGCATTAATAGGCATACTGTAAAAAATATAGAGAATGCGGAAAAGTAAAAATATATAAAAGTATAAGCCAAGAGCAATGCTACATTGCACAAAGTTATAATGAAATACAAAAAGAAAATAAACAAAATTGAATGTTACAAAACAATTATTCATACTTTAATATGCAAATTATTTGGAACCTCTATAATTATTTTAATTAAATTAAAATTAACTTTTAAATTTAATATATTACATTATGTTTAAAATAAATAACTGTTTTACTAATGCCATTTTTTGTTAATAATATTATTACAAGTAAACATAACTCATATACATTGTATACTTTCTTGCTTATAATAAATATTCATTAAACATTTTGAAAACAAAAGCAATGACTAATATATAAATAGTAAAATAATATATAAAAAATTGACGATAATTTATTATAATTTATAATAAATATAAATAACATCATATTTATCATTATATAGAGCAAGCGTATAACAAAAACTTTAACACGTGTTTTAAGAATATTATTAAGGAATATCAAAATATGCAGTAAATATTAATACAAAACATTATCTATTATCATATATATTCGTAAATTATTATCATAAAATATAGTTTACTAGTGTTTATCGTTACCACAATATAGCATATGTAACAAAAAAACAAAAACGTGTTAAATGTGTGCCAAAAGAATAATATAAAAAAAAAATTAACTATAAATAATAAGACATTAATAAATCTATGTATTCTACCATAAATTTAATACTGAATCATTATACGTTTTGGAATTCGTATATGTATAATTTTTTCTATATGTTTATGATAAAATAAAAATATTGTAATTTTAAAAACAATACTTATTTTTATAATAAATATATAAATTTCAAAATTATTATTGTATTATTCAAAATAAAACAATTCCTTTCCATTTTCTAGATGAATAATTCTGTAAAATAATTTTTATAATGATAGCAACATACGTAATAAAAATATTCCCTTGTATGTCATAATCTGAACTAATATATATTGCTGTATCTTACATTAAATCTTCTCGATGAATCTAAATATTCTGGAATAGTATAATCTTCTGTTATATTACTATCAGTTATAATACTACGTTTTTTTTTAGATTTTCTTACTAAGACTTTTTTTATCCAATAGCCAACCGAGTATACTAATGAAAATATGATGTGTATAAAACATATTTTATGCATAATATTTTTAGACTTAAAAATTAATAAATTTTATTTAATATAATGTAATACATATTTCTATTTTATTCATATAGACAGTTACTTTGCACAGTATAATAGAAAGAACTGTAATCCCTATAACTAAAAGAGGCATTACCATATTTTTTGAGGATGAAGAATCTGATAAATCAATAAAGGCACTTTGCTTTGGATCTTTAATATCCGAAGGATGAAATTTAGAATTAAGATGGTTTAAATTGTCTCTATTTGTATCTTCATGTGGATCTGTAGGTACCCCCACTTCTAGGTAATTCTTGTGGTTGTTTTACTGTTGTTTGTTCTAATGTTTTTACTCTTGATTCTGCCACTCCACGGTGATCTTGTTTTTGTGTTACAGATTTATAATTATTATATTGTGAATTACATGACAATGCAGAAAATTTCTCTGGATACTTATCTTTAAAAAACTCTTTAATATGTTCACAGGGCCTACGCTCTTCAGGATTATTGTTACAGGAAAATATGAACATATTATATTTAGTAACATAATTACTAAGAATTTTCGTATAATCTCCACTACAAGACCCAATAGATTCAGTTATAACATGTTCAAGCTTATCATAATCTTTTGAATAATCAAAGAGTTCCTTAGTATCCATAAAATATTCTGGATCAATATTATATTTATCAAATTCACATATACTCAATCCTCCTTTACTTTGCAATGTAAACTTAATAACATCTATAACAGATGTAAAATTTAAAATATATTTTATATTATAATATATTTTATCTCCTAACTAAAAGTACAGGTAATCACAATCTGTACTTTTAAATTCCCCTGTCATATGTTTATTGTATGCAAAACATAAGGCATTACGTATTTTGTTAGAAATATTTAAAAGCTGCGGATATGTTCCTAAGAGTTTCGCTACATATTGTTGAATATGAGAATCATCACAAGTATCTTCCGCCTTATCGAAAATAGCGTATTTCTGTTTTGAAGTTAATTCATTAAGTACATTATTCTATAAATTTAAAAGGAATGATAATATATATATTTTTATTTATAAAAAAAATAAAATAATTTAAGATGAAATGTGATTTTTTGATATAAATAATTATTTATATTATGTAAAATACGTACCCCCATATCAATTGGCATTATTAACGAATGTCAAAAAGTAATATGCAAAGAAAATAAAATAATCATATATAACTATGTATTTACTAATATATTGAAAAAATTATAATAATATTTATCAGAACATATATAGTACTATCTATGATTATGGATTAATCATTATAGTGTTGTCTATTTTTATAAAATTTTATGATATGTAATTTCTTTAACATTATGCTCTATGAAAAATGGATGTATATATGCATATAGGATGTATTATGTAAATGTATATATTTTATATATTCAATAATATTTGAAATAAGTGTAGGGAATTAATTGTTTGAATTTCTTAATAATATATTTTATATTACAATGTACATTACAGTTACTATATTCAAGCACTATATATAATTCTTATGAAGTTAGGTGACATGGACTCCCATAAATTAAAGTAAAAATATTCTTTATTTTTATTTTATACGGAATATGACAGTTTTAATCATATTTATATAATTTACATTAATAATGATATATTTGTAAACTTTATTACAGGAGGTATGGCAAATTTTTCACACTATAAATTTAATGGACTTCATAAAAAAATAATTCTTCTTGAAGTCATTACGCTCTCCCCCAATTTTCATATTATATATGATAAGTTCTATATATATATCTAGATATTAATAATAATATACTAATGTAGGACAAGAATAAGTTATAAATATTTTTTACATATTACTACCATAATTCGATTATTGCAAGTTATAAATTTTTTTTTTCATTGTATGTTATTTTAATTCGAAATTATTTGAACCGATAAAACTGTTTGTAAATTTTTT